AAAAAAATGAATTTAGGACGTTTGCCAATACGACTTGGTGTAACTGGTGGAGCGCGCGTATTTCTGCCGCAAGATATTGGTGGGCTACCAAAAGAGGAAGAAACTATGGCGGAGATGCTAAAAAGATACGGTATCATTTTTTGATGCTTTTAAATATTGAATGTTTGTAACATTGAAACAAAGCAGTGTGGACACTTTTCTGATTAAATTCGCCAGAATTTTCATTTTATTCCCAGATCCTAGTCGCTCCCCTGGTCAATGCAGTGCGCTGTTTTGGGCAGTTCTTGGGAATGAAGGCAACAAATTTATGATTTGCTCTGTTATTGAGGCTGCACATGGAAGCTGAAAAAGCGTTGCTTCAGGCTACGCAACGGGCATGATTGGAAAATGGCATTTGGGTATTAACAGCCACAACCACAGCGATGGGACCTTTTTGCCATCTCAGCGCGGGTTCGACTTTGTGGGCATCAATTTGCCGTGGACGAATGCTTGGCAATGCGACACCTCCAAGGTTGTGCGCATTTCTTAACACCAATAGAAGACTGGAAGAATAAGTAGCAGCAGCAGCGTTTCCAGAATATCCTTCCTCTGGATTGTTGAGCTTAGTTACAATACAAAACGGCAAAGGACGATCTACAAGCAAATACTGCTTAACTTGAAGTGCTTGATGAGAAACGCATCCTCAGTGAACAACAAAAAGTTCTTTATGCTGAGGCCTGTTCCTCCTATAGTGAAATTTCTTCCTGGCGACAACGATATTCCAGAAACCGTCTGCTAATCTGAGCAAACGAACAAGATGTTTCGATAAACACTTCTGTTGAACTGATATGAAATGTCTTTAAATAATTGCTTGATAAGCATTCGTAATCGAGTTCACCACTCTAGCCAGAATAAATCCCTTAAAATTAGCAACGACTCATCGAGGACAAAAAGGAAATTTGAGTTTGACTAAGGTTTAGAGTCTCACGCAAGCTAGGGTTCGGTTTTCAGACACAGAGCTACGCAGTCTCAACCTAGTGCATTCATTCGCTGAAATCGTGCCAAAATATGTAAGAAACAGTCAACGAAATGCAAAAGCCAGTTGGGGGGCGCACCAGCATTGCCGATGTGATCATGCTTTCTACATGATTCCATTTTGTGGAGAGGTTGCCAACTTTGGTTACGCGTTTTTGCATATGTGTAAATGTAACTCAGGTAGAAAAGCACCAGGCTTGCCGGTGCGATTATGCGTTTTTGCAACAGACTTGAAGTACCCAGGTCATTAACTGTATGAATGGTTATTGCTTTACACCTGGCTTTTACGCTTACTAGCGTAAACCACCATAAATTTTGCATGAAGTTAACAAACAATTTCCATTTAACGGTCGTTCTTTGAAAGTAACCCGGGCTGGAAAGCACCAGGCGAGCCGGTGCGATCATGCGTTTTCGCACCAAACTTGAAGTAATTAGGTTAACTGCATGAACGGTTTTTCTTCACACCTGCCTTGTGCGCTCAATACGGTAAATCATCGGAAATTTTGTATTAAAGGAAATAAGCAATTTCCGTTTAGTGGTC